TAAATTACCTCAACTTGCACCTTAAGACAAAAAAACCTTTTGACGAAATCCAAAATCCATTCCTAATAAAAACTCTCTGCCAACCAAGATAGAAGAAACTTTCTCAACTTGATAAGGGGCATCTACAAAGAAAAAAAAAACTATAGATAACATCATACTTAATATTTAACATCTTAAAGGACTGAGTGCATCTCTCTTAAATCAGAAACAAGACAAGGATGTCCACTTTCTCCTCTTTTCAACACTGTATTAGAGGTTCTAATCAGGTGAGAAAAAGAAATAAAGGCACACATATTGGAAAGGAAGAAGTAAAACTGTCTTTATTCACAAAGGACATGATCCTACATGTAGAAATTCTAATGGGAACTACAAGAAAACTTTTAGAATTAATTAGTGAATTTAGCAAGCTTACTAGATTAAGATCTATATACAAAAATCAATAAAGAATACTCAGAAATTGAAAAAACTTTTAAATACCATTTACTATAGCACCAAAAATACATAATACTTAGGGATAAATCTGATAAAAATATGAAATATTTGTACACTAAAACTATTAAGACACTGCTAAGAGAAATTACAGACCTAAAAATACGAGAGATATACAATGTTCGTGGGTCAGAAGAATCAATATTGTTAAGATGTCAGTTCTCCCCAAATTGATGTAGAGAGTTGATGCAATCCCAATCAAAATCCCAAGAAATTTTTTTTTTACATAAATTGAGAAGATGACTATAAACTTCATATGGAAATGCAAAGAACCTGGAATAGCAAAAAAACTTTGAAAAAGATTTATGACAAAGCTACAATAATCCAAACAGTGTGGTACTGGCATAAAGATATACAATAGATAAACGGAACAAAATAGAGTCCAGAACTAGATGCACACATATATGGGCAACACTTTTTTTATGATTGTGAAAAGTCAATTCAGTGAAGAAAAGACAGTCTTTTCAACAAATGGTGCTGGATATCCATATGCAAAAAAAATGAACTTCAATCCATTCCTCACACCATACACAACAATTAACTCAAAAATTTTCAAAACTCAGAGACTTGAATGTAAACTAAAAGCGAAACAAATGCGAGAAATTTTTTGTAACCTCAAGTTAAGCAAATATTTCTACATACGACAGCAGAACCAACATATATAAAGTAAAAAATTAAGTACATTGAACTTCATCAAAATTAAAAACATCTACTCTTCAAGACTCTGTTAAGAGAATGAAAAGACAAGCCATGGACCGAGAAAAAACATTTGCAAAGCATATATCTGAAAAAGAACTTATATCTAGAACATATAAAGAATTCTCAAAACTCAAAAAGAAAACAAACAACCCAATTTAAAAATTGGACCAACAATGAACAGTGAACAGACACTTCACTAAAGGAGATATATGGATGGCAAAGAGCACTTGAAAAGATGTTCAGCATCACTAGTCATCAGAGAAATGCACATTAAAACCATAATGAGATACCATAACACACCTACTAGAATGACTAAAATTTAGAAGGCTAATAATAACAAGTATTGACAAAGACAGAGAGAAACTAGAACTCTTATATAGCGCTAGTGGGAATATAAAATGATGCAATCACTCTGGGAAAATGTTTGGTAGTTTTCCAAAAAGGTAATTAAATATCTACCACATGATTTAGCCATTTCATTTCCAGATATTTACCCAAGAGAAATGAAAGTACATGTCCACGCAAAGACTTGCACATGAATGTTCACAGCAGCTTTATCTGTAATAACCCCAAACTGGAAATAATCGAAGTGTTCAACAAGTAAAGGATAAACAGTGGTATAGCTATACAATGGAACATTGCTGAGCAATAAAAAGAAATAAACTATTGATACATGCAACAACATGCATGAATTTCAAAACAATTATGCCTAGTGAAAGAAGTCATACTCTCATTCCTCCAAAAAAAGAGTACATGATTTGATTTTAATAAAACTGTAGGACATTTAAACAAATCTACAGTGACAGAAAGTAGATCAGTGATTGCCAGGGGCAGAGTAAGGTTAGTGTGAAGAGGACTGATTATAAACAGGCAAGAGGAAACCTTTGGGGTTGGTACATGTGTTTATTATCTTGATTGTGGTGACAGTTTCATGACTGTATTCATATGTCAAAATTTATCAAGTTGTATATTTGAAATGAGTGTAATTTATTGTATAATAATTATACCTCAATGGAAATTATTATAAAACAAAACAAAAATGAATGACTTCAAGGATTTTGGCCCAAGTTGCCCAAAGAACTGAATTTCCTAAACTGAGAATAAGAAGGCTACAGAATAAGCAAATTGTGGAGGGAAAACGAAAATTCAATTTTTAAAATGTTGAGTTTGAAATGCCTATTAGATATGAAGTGGAGGCATCAACTAGGCAACTGGATATACAAGTCTAGCGTTCAGGAAAGATGTCTGAGATGGTATAAATTCGGGAGTTCTGGCATATAGAAGGAATATTTAAAGTCAGCTGTGCTTGAATGAAGTAGGTAGCACTCAATAAAAATTAGTGGAATGAATAAAAATTCTAGGTACTTTACATTATTATTTCATCCTAACAAAAACCTTACAAAGTAGCAATTACTCTCTCTATTGTATAGACAAGGAAACTGAGGCTTAGGGGAACGAATCCCTAAGGGGAAAAACATGTTACATGTCCTCAGACTATCGGCTAATAAAATAAAGCAGCTATAGATTTAATAAATCTAGAAACAAATTCCCAAAGTCCATAATTGACATGTTAGTGACCTCCCTTAAATTTTACACATATTAAAAATCAATGTAATCTACAAGTTAAAGATATTAAAGTCTGTGCTACCCAACTACTATATTGGTGTCATTTTAAAATTTCTAGAAGGAAAAAACAGGACACTTTTAGCTGTTACCTCAGCTGAAGAAACTGAAGGATACAGAAGTTTAATGAGGAAGAACCTGAACTGGGATCCAAACAGCTGTAGAAACTATTTTATAGTCTACTAGATGCAAAAAAGAAAGCTTTATATTGGCACTTAGGGGAATGAACTGGTAGGTAAAATATCAGAAGTTCCTAGTCTAGGAAAATGTCATTTAAATTTCAAGGAAATATGTTCCTTGAATTTTAATTCTAACCTTTCAAAAAAAAAAAAAACTTGGAAAGGTTAAAATACTACATCAAATGCTATAATAAAGGATATAAAACTAGAGACATGAAAGGCCATTCTTTGCTATAAAAAAAATTGCTGTGTTGATAATACCTCATTCAGGCATAATGGAAGACTAATACAAAACTTTTTACAGGTTTTTTCATTAAATACTATTATTCTGCCCAATGAAGTCATTATAAACTATAATAATTAACAAACCTAATTATCTTGACTTATGTAAAACCTTGACTTACTGGATCTTTAACACTGCCTCAACAAATATGTTCAATTTTATTCCGGTTCTCTCTTAGTGCATAAAATCAAAAATAAAGATAATAGTTCAACAATTTTTTCAAAGACTTCCATCCAGAATTGGTCACTGGCATACCAACTTCATTTAACTCTTTACTAAGAAATAAGGAAAAAGACAATAAGAGAAGATCAATGAGTGTGTCTCATCCTTCTCTTTGTTCTGTTAAAAGGCAGGGGAGAGGAGTCTCTGTAAACCAAGTTGAACAAAGTGGTCAGTACATCACTAACAAATTAAAATTTCGAAATTTTCTTCACAAAAGCTGAGTTACAGTCATCTTGACCATGTTTGAGGAGGTTGAAGGAATCAACACATTTTTAATATTTTTTTTTTTTTAAAGATTTTATTTTTTCCTTTTTCTCCCCAAAGCCCCCTGGTACATAGTTGTATATTCTTTGTTGTGGGTCCTTCTAGTTGTGGCATGTGGGACGCTGCCTCAGCGTGGTTTGATGAGCAGTGTCATGTCCGCGCCCAGGATTCGAACCAACGAAACACTGGGCCGCCTGCAGTGGAGCGCACGAACTTAACCGCTCGGCCACGGGGCCAGCCCCAGGAATCAACACATTTTAATAATTACCTGCTTAGAATCCATGAAAGGAAGCTGAAGTTTCCTAAGACTTCATTAGATTCCAAAAAAAAGTGATATAAGGACTCCAAGGACTAACTCATGAGATGAGCAGGTTTCAATGAAATTACGCATTGAAAAGTTCAATGAATAGCAAATATCAACATCTACCCAGATGGTCCAACTTATGATCAACTTCTGAGAATTCTATGTCCAATTTGTCCCATTTTGCTCCATTCTTACTACTTTATTTCAGATCACTAGCTCTTGCCTGAATTATTGCAGCAGCCTCTTAACACATCCTTACGTGCCCCATCCCCCTCCACACACTAGCTAGCCAGAACTAAGTACAAAGGTAAAGTGCAAACTTTTAAAAGGGGCTTTATAAAGCCCTTTACGATCTGACCTCTTCGTATTTCCTGGCTTCATCCTTTACCACTGCTATACATATATACCCACCCAATATACAAACACCAAGAATGTGTGTCCTCTCATATATACACACTAGACCTCAGCCATACTCAGCTATCTGCAGGCCCCCAAAAGCAACAGCTGCCCTTAAAGCCTCATGCTGCTTCCTCTGACTGGACTCTTCTCCCCACCCCCTACCTCTTTTGCTAATTCTCACTCTTCCTGAGATCTCGTTTTAAATGCCACGCCCTCTGATACCTTCTTTGTTCAAATCCTTCCGCCCAACCCCATTTGATGAGCCTAACACCCTGCAGCTAGCCTTCACCTAGCAATTCTCACCCTGAGTCATAACTGTCTATATACCTAACTTTCTGTGGTAATATAACATAATCTTTCCAAGGGTAGGGGATGCTGTCTTATTCACTACTGTGTCCTCCAGTATCTAATTCAGTGCCTGACCCACAATAGAAATTGAACAAACTCATTCAGTGAATGTACTATGAAAGGTACTTCATTCATAGAGGGGTCTTGAAACATCGCAGTTTTGGAACTCCTAATTAAAGAAATAACATACCTGTCTCTCCAACTCTTGTCCTGTTATGCCAGCTTCTACGTGAACTGTCAGATTATTCTCATCAACCCAGAGGATTCGATTCTGTTGCAAAGGAAGAAAGAAGTCTCATCTCCATGAATTACTGACATTTTCTGAGGAAATATAACTTCCTAACTCAAAACAGCAAGTGACAAGACAGTAATCAAGCAAGTAGGGTTACCTACACTAGAAAGCTCCACTTATCTTTGACTGTACAACATGACAGACATAGTAATATAGGCAGTATATCACGCAGGAGTTGGTTTAAAACATAGACTGCCTTTATTCAGATATTAATTGGAATTAAACTCTACTTCTTACCTTAGTCAAATTATTTAACTGTCTAAGCTTAGTGTTTCCTCATTTGTAAAGTGAGGATAGTAATACCTATTCACAGGGTTGATGTAAGGATTAAATGAGATACTGTACATAAAAAGCTTAGCATATACAGTTCCCGGCATTCTGCAAATAGTATCTACTCTATTAATAGTTAGCAATCACATCTTATTTAAGAATATCAGAAGATGGCCACCATGAGAGTAGAAAAAGACACTGCAAAGACACTTGAATATAGCACAGTTATACATCTATGGGGATACATTCTGCGAAACGCATCTTTAGGCAATGTCTGAATCCCCATTTAAACAAATGAACTGTAAAATAAAGACCATTTTGAGATAACTGGAAAAGTTGAATGTAAACTAAATATTAAGTGATACAAAGAAATACTTTTAATCTTGCCAGGAGTGATAATAATAGAGTGAGAAAATGTCCTTTTTAAAAGATACACAGAAATATTTAGGTGTAAAGTAGCATAATATCATGATTTGCTTCATAATAGTAGAGAAAAAAAGAAAGATAAGCCAATATGACAAAATGTTAATAATTATTTAATCTAGAGAATGAATATACGTTTCTTTCTGCTTTCATGTTTGAAAACTTCAAATTAACTAAATAAATAAATAATAAACTTTTAAAATGTCTTTATAATGGAAGAATATGTAACCAGGAAAAATGTTGACTACACAAAGATTAAGTTCATACCCAAATTAAAACTTTAACATGGCACAATATCCAACTCTTGGACCACAATGAGCCAAAACTTCAAAAAGTAATCCTATCACTAAAATTAGTTAACTCCTCTATTCTTCCACAAGCAAAACTACAACACCATTAGTAAAAATAGGGAGGACAAGTAAGTGTTGGTGATTCAAATTAACTTCAACTGATATTATTGATTTTCTTTTCTAATAATACAAATCAGGTCTTCTTTTGTATCACTATTCTAAGCTATGCTTCTCAAATTATCAATTTTCACATGCCAATTTGGTAGAATCCATCAAGATATGTGCCTAAGAGTACAAGTGAACTTAGCTTTTGGAGGTCTGAAGACAAGAGCAAAATACAATGATGAAACAAATTTAAAACAAAGTGGAGAATATACCTTTTTAATGATAACTGAGCCATAAAGATATTTGTGTGTGTGTGTAAGGAAGCCCTGAGGTAACATCTACTGCCAATCCTCCTCTTTTTGCTGAGGAAGAGTGGCCCTGAGCTAACATCTGTGCCAACCTTCCTCTATTTTGTATGTGGGATGCTGTCACAGCCTAGCTTGATGAACGATGTGTAGGTCCACGCCTGGGATCTGAACCAGCGAACCCCAGGCCACCAAAGTGGAGGGCACAAACTTAACCACTATATCACTGGGCCAGTCCCTAAAAGTAATTTTTTAAATCAAACGTTATCTCCAAATACATCTTAAATTATCATGTACCATTTGTGAAGTATCCAAAGAAATAATTGTTCTTGTCTCATCTGCAGGACACATCAGGGCATACGAAACACTTGTTCCTCCTGCCAAAATAGGAAAAAACGTTATGTTTAAATATTTTATTTCTAGCTACATTTCTAGGGCAAATCCCTAATATAAAGCATACAGACAGGCCTGCTAGAAAAGTAATACCGATTTCTACTTTGCAAAATGTACTTTGCAAATGCTAACACACTAAAAGCAAACTCACCTTTATTTTATGCTGCTTGCCAAAATGAAGAAATATTATGGAGCTGAAAGCAATGGGGTATGGCTTCATCCCCTGGGCACACTCAAGTGAAGCCCCTAGCAATTTGTGGAACTCCAAAAACATGAATTAGAAAAGTTCTAAGCTAATGATTACTGTGGAGAGAGAGCTTAAAAGACAAAAAACCCATCCTATACAACTAGAGACATCATTACCTCCTTTCTACAAAAATTATGACATTCATTTATCACTTAAAATAATATCTTATATTCCCACACAAAAGAATATAAATGTGCTAAAATTGCCCAGATTATATGCTATTAAAAAATTAATTTATATGTTCTTCAGTAAAAAAGTGATTTTAATATAGAATAAATAATACACAGAAGTACTTAAACAATGTAGTACTTCTGTTTTCCATTAACATTTGTTATCAAAGGAAAAATGCTCTCCTGATACCAATACAGAACAATATGGTGTTCTTAGTTCTTAACCAGATCTGTATCACCATTTATCAGAATAAATTCTTAATTGGTATTTCCATGTGTTTTGGACAGAAAACATGTGGAACTCATCTTGATACAAGGTAAGAATTATACAGAATGTTGATCTACAAGGTTCACCTCAATTTTACAAGGTAAGACCATAAATTGCCAGTTATGAACACGCCTGTGATCAGTTAACCACTATTTGCTGTCACAGCCATTTGAAATCAGAAAAATATTTCATTAAAAGCCATACTGTAGTGCCTTTTTTGCATAAATTCAACAAAGTATCAGCTGAAGAAGGAGTGGAACTTCTGATTTGTTGGGGTCCTATTTCCATTCCATCAATGCCAATTCAATCAGCGAAGGCAATTTCCTTTGGCGTGCATAAGTTGTTAAAACAATGTGGTTAATCAAAGATCAAGAGATCAAATTTGTCTTAAAATGCAAACAATATCAACTTTCGGTATTAAAAGATATTATGATTTAATCATCATTGTCCTGATTTATCTTCTACACTGTGTAGCATTCCTTCTCAAAGGTTTATGTTGGGTATATTTTAGGCTTTGAAAAATAATATTCTCTCCAAAACGATACAGCCTAGAAAGTCATTACTAAATCAGGTACATTTTCTTAGTTAGGCATTAAGTCACAGCTTTAACTAGGATCCATAGGGAAAGAAGCCATGTACTAAGGGTAGGTACATCATGTCTCAAATAGTTTAGGTAGATCTACTCAGAACAGAAATAATCAGCATAAACCAATTTTCAGAATAACCATATCATAATTTCAAGAATGTTTTTTTTAGTGGGATGGCACAGATATTTACAATACAAACATTTTAAATAAAAAGAACAAATTTACATTATAGTAAAATTCAAAAGGCACAATACCTACCACCAATTGGTATGATACAAAGGTTATATTTGCACGCTAGATTCACAATCTTAACTACATCATCATGACACGCTGTTGAAAAAAGAGAAAATTAATCAAAAAGACACACATAAAATCTGTGTCATGCTGCAAAATAAGGGTCTATAAAGTTCTTTAGTGTCTAAACTGTCTTCATTTACTCACTCACTAACACGTTAAATAGCTATATTAAAACAAACTTTATTACTTACCTGTTTAACTTGTCATTTTGAAATAATTTCATACTTACAAAAAAGTTGCAAAAATGGTACAAAGAATCTCCTTCACCCAGCCACTGGAAATATTAACATCTTACATAATTATAATTTAATTGTCAAATCAACTGACACTAATACCATACTATTGTTACAATACTTTTAACTAATCTACAGACCTTACTCAAACTTTGCCAATTGTTCCACTAACATTCTGTTTTCTGGACCAGGATCACACACTCCATTTAGTTGTCATGTCTCCTTAGTCTTCTTTAATCTAAGACAGTTCCTCAGTCTATCTTTGACTTTCATGACCTTGACACTTTTGAAGAGCATTGGTCATTACTTCACAGAATGTCCCTCAATTTGGGTTTGTATGTTTCCAAATAATTAAATTCAGGTTATACATTTCAGCAGGAATTCCACAGAAGTGACACTGTGCCTTTCTTAGTGTGTGATATCTGGAGGCTCATGATGCAGACAAGTCTCCTTCTGGTAATGTTAACTTTCATCATTTGCTTATATAGTATCTGCTGGTTTCTCCATGACAGGAATACTATAATTAACAGTATCTTGTCAGGAGATACGTAGACTATGTAAACATCATGTATCTCATCATACTTTCCACTATTAATTTTTGCACCCCTTCATGATCCTTTACTCTGTTTTTTAAACAAATTTTAAAATATTATACAAAATATACTGCATATGAATTCCCTTCTATTGTACACAACTGAAGGGTACTCTCTCTCAGTGTAAAAGTTATATATAAGTAACAAAAATCTGACTGCAGGGCCAGCCCCTGTGGCCTAACGGTTAAGTTTAGCAAGCTCCACTTCAGTGGCCCAGGTTCGTTTCCTGAGCGTGGACCTACACCACTCCTAAGTGGCCATGCTGTGCTGGCTCACATACAAAATAGAGGAAGATTGGCCACAGATAGCTGAGGACAAATCTTCCTTAACAAAAGAGAGGAAGATTGGCAATGGATGTTAGCTCAGGACAAATCTTCATCAGCAAAAAAAATCTGACTGCAGAAGACTTTAAACACATAGCAAGAGATGCTAAGACTCAATTTGACTAGCAATAGGGCATTAAGGAGCGGAACAATATGGCAAACAGAGTATTTTAGAAAAATCAACCTTCTGACAAAACAGGGAATGGCATGAAGGAGAAAGAGATGAGGCAAGGAAACCATGCAAAAATCGAGTATAAAAACAAGACCCTGAAAGGGAAATAAAGATGCAAAGGAAAATATATGAGAACATCCATTTATGAAAGTAAAAATACTGTTCTATAAAAGTTATAATTATCATTCCCCAGGTTTGCTTAAAACTAGGAATATATGTCATTTGTATCATTCCAATTTTTAATGAAAATCTACTTTCAAGCTTTCAGATTAAGCTTATAAAGCTTTACTGTTTGTGGTAAAAATTTTTACTAAATGGAATACTAGCTCATTAGCAATTAATAAAATATATGAAGATGTTTGCTAAAAACCTTTAACAAGGAGAGGAGGCAGAGCGAAATGGCGGGGTGACCTGACCCAGGACTCTCGCCCCTCCAAAATACAACCAAAGAAACGGAAAAACTGAATTTCAACCAATGACCCCTAATGCCAAGACCGTCAAAGACCTACAGAATAAGAAGACAGAGAATGGAGAGGCTGTAGCTGCCCTCAGAGGAGATAGAACAGGGTAAGAGAGAACTTCGCTCCCTCCCCTAGAGACTGGGATTGATGCCGCAAGTGAGGGAAGGAGCGGTGAGGGGCTGTGTGACCAGCGGATTGTCCAGGACTCCCGCCGCCGGTGCAGTGGAAACCCGGTGATGAGGGAACGCTTCCGTGTGCAGGGACCCCATCACGCCAGGGCCCCAGGAGACCAGAGAACGAGAGCTAATCCAAATCCAGATTTGTAGGCAAGAGAAAGTGCCCTCCCCCACAACCCGTGCTGGGTGCCGCCATCTTGCCTGAAGGTGGAGGGCTCAGAACGTGTGGCTCTCAACCCCCATCTAGTGGCGACAGGCTGTAACCGCAACCAAATACAACCATCATGTGCAAAAACCACTCCTCTACCATCCAGCAATTTATAAAAGCTCCAGACCAGAAGGAAAACAATAAAAACACAGAATTAAGTCCTGAGGACTTGGAAATAGGTAAACTAAGTGAAAATGAGTTCAGAGTAGCTATCATCAAAAAACTCAATGAGGTAGAGAGAAAGAGAAACAAGCCAATGAGTTCTGGAGTTACTTCACAAAAGAGATTGAAAATATAAAGAAGAATCAAACAGAATTACTAGAGATGAAAAATACAATGGACCAGATAAAACAGAATACGGATTCCCTGAATGCCTGTGTAGACACCATAGAGGAGAAAATCAGCATAATCAAAGATAGACTGGCTGGATGGCTCCAGACAGAGGAAGAAAGAGAACTAAGAATTAAAAAGAATGAGGAAAATATCAGAGAGATAGCGGATTCAATGAGGAGAAAGAATTTAAGGATCATAGGAATTCCTGAGAACATGGAAAAGGAAAATGGAGCAGAAAGTGTGCTTAATGAAATTATAAAAGAGAACTTCCCAAATCTAGGGATTGAGGGAGAAATGTGTGCAGAGGAAACTTTCAGATCTCCTATATTTGTCAATGTAAAAAGACCTACTGCGAGGCATATAGTAGTAAAAATGGCAAAAGTGAAAGACAAAGAAAGAATACTCAGGGCAGCAAGACAGAAGAAAATAACCTACAAAAGAACTCCTATCAGACTTTCAGCGGATTTCTCTGCAGAAACCTTACAAGCTAGGAGAGAATGGAGTGACATATTCAAAACTCTAAAAGATACAAATCTTCAGCCAAGAATACTCTATCCAGCAAAAATATCCTTCAGATATGAGGGAGAAATTAAATCTTTTCCAGACAAACCAAAGTTAAGGGAATTTGTAACCAAAAGTCCTCCACTACAAGAAATCCTCAAGAAGGCTCTCATACCTGATAAAAGAAAAAAGGGAGAAAGGGGTCACAAACCACAGAGTAGGGAGACAGAGAGATAGAACCAGAATAGGATAGCAAATATTCAACTATAGCATTAGGATAAAGGTAAGGAAACTACCAAAGCAAAGACGATCTTATCACTCTAACTACAAACTCATAACACGAGTTGGAATAAGAAATCAAAATAATAATTTAGGAGGGGAAGAGCAAAGGGACTAAATCAGTCTAGGCCAAGTAAGTAAGAGACCACCAGAGAACAGACTATATTATACATGAGATTCTAAATACAAACTTCAGGGTAGCCACTATACTAAAAAACAGAACAGAGCCACAAAACATAAATAAGGAAAAATCTAAGAAACCCAGCATAAGAAATTGCAGTAGTCAATGGGTAGGCTAAAACACACAGGACAAGAAACAAAGGTAACGCAGGAAAACCAGATAACGAACAACAGATTGACAGCATTAAGTCCACATGCATCAATAATCACCCTCAATGTAAATGGATTGAACTCTCCAATAAAAAGACACAGAGTGGCAAAATGGATTAAAGAACAAGATCCAACAATTTGCTGCCTCCAGGAAACACACCTCAGCCCCAAGGACAAACAAAGGCTCAGAGTGAAGGGGTGGAGGACAATACTTCAAGCTAACAGCAAGCAAAAGAAAGCAGGTGTTGCAATTATTATATCAGACAAAACAGATTTAAAAATAAGGCAGGTAAAGAGAGACACAGAGGGACAATATATAAGATCAAAGGGACACTTCATCAAGAAGAAATAACGCTTATAAATATCTATGCACCCAACATAGGAGCACCAACGTTCATAAACCAACTATTAACAGACCTAAAGGAAGATGTTAAAAACAACAGAATAATAGTAGGGGACCTAAACACCCCACTCACATCAATGGACAAATCATCCAGACAGAAAATCAACAGGGAAATAGTGGAGCTAAACGAAAAACTAAAACAATTGGACTTAATAGACATATATAGATCACTTCATCCTAAAACAGCAGAATACACATTCTTCTCAAGTGCACATGGAACATTCTCAAGGATAGACCATATGTTGGGAAACAAGGCAAGCCTCCACAAATTTAAAAAAATTGAAATAATAACAAGCATCTTCTCCAATCATAATCCTATAAAGCTACAAATTAATTACAAGAAAAAAGCTGAGAAAGGCACAAGGATGTGGAGACTAAACAATACACTACTGAACAAGCAATGGATCACTGAAGAAATTAAAGAAGAAATCAAAAAATACCTGGAAATAAATGAAAATGGTAACATGCCATACCAACTCATATGGGATTCAGCAAAAGCTGTATTAAGAGGAAAGTTCATCGCAATACAGGCACATCTTAACAAACAAGAAAAATCCCAAATAAGCGATCTTAAACTACACCTAACTGAATTAGAGAAAGAAGAACAAATAAAGCCCAAAGTCAGCAGAAGGCGAGAAATAATAAAAATCAGAGCAGAAAGAAATGCTATTGAAACGAAAAAGGCAGTAGAAAGGATCACTGAAACCAAGAGCTGGTTCTTTGAGAAGATAAATAAAATTGACAAACCCCTAGCCAGACTTACAAAGAAAAAAAGGGAGAAAGCTCAAATAAACAAAATCAGAAATGAAAGAGGAGAAATAACAACAGACTCTGCAGAAATACAACGGATTATAAGAGACTACTATGAAAAACTATACGCCAACAAAATGGATAGCCTAGAGGAAATGGATAAATTCTTGGACTCCTACAATCTCCCAAAGCTCACTCAAGAAGAAGTGGACAATTTGAACAGACCAATCACAAGGAAAGAGATTGAAACAGCAATCAAAAACATCCCAAA